TGAAGAACTGTTCTTTAAATTGAATAAATTTAGCTTCATAAAAGACTCAGTATAATTCTTATTTTTCTTATTTCACCATGAAGTAGGAATTAGATGGTTTATAAATCTCCCTCCAGTTGTGAAATAATTCAATTCTAATATTCACCCTCCTCCCTATTTCTGTTTCTATACTTTCGCATTCTAATTTAGAAATACGGGTTTACAATCTAGTCTGAGGGGATTGACTAAGTGGAATGACTGCTCTGAGAAATCATAGAATTAGAGACCAGTCAAATGAAAATAAGCTGGATAAAACAATGGGCACTCTAAGAAAATAGCACAGAAATATGCAATCATTTATCTTAACAAATATTCACAGCCTACTATGTGCCAAGTACTGGACTAGACGCTAGGCTATGACAAACCAGCAAATAGGTCAGTGCCCTTGGATTTTATTCCTATCTCCCAGGCCTGGTAGGTTCTTCAGGCTTCAAGATAAATATGATACATTCCTGGGGCTTCAGTTTTTATTGAAGAAGGGGTGTGGATGGGAAGACAGACAGTTTAAAATTTTTATTAAAAACATCTACAAAAAGGAATGATACACAAAATCTTCATGGATAAAAAGAATAAAATAAAGACAGGTTAACAACAGCCAGTTTGACCCTGACCGGATTGGCTCAGTGGATAGAGCGTCAGCCTGCAGACTAAAGGGTCCCAGGTTCAATTCCAGTCAAGGGCATGTACCTTGGTTGTGGGCACATCACCAGTGGGGAGTGAGTGTGCGGGAGGCAGCTGATGTATGTTTCTCTCTCATCGGTATTTCTAACTCTATCCCTCTCTCTTCCTCTCTGTAAAAAAAAAAAAAAAAAAAAAAAAAAAAAAAATCAATAAAATATATATTTTATTTTTTTTTTATTTTTTTTTTTTTTGTAATGAGATAACATTTTATTTTAATTTTCACCATTTATATACAAACACAAATAAACACACCACAAAACAGTAAAATTTCATAGTTAATATGTATAGGTGCATAGTTTCATGCTCACATATTTTTCAGTATTACATATATTAACAAGTCTCACAATACATCGTTATTCTTAGACAGCATCATTAAAAGACACCTAAAAATCTTAAAATATATGATAGTAAGTCACAACTTCTCAATAAGAGCAACAACAAAAAAATAGTGAAGATTTAGGAATAAGTGGTAGTCACTTAGGTGTTTTTAATTTGTTTTAACATTTTATATTTGAAGCCACAAGGTTCACACAGCACACAGGGACCTGCGACCATATATTCACGTCAGTGAGAAGGAAGCACCGAAATGCTGAGTGGGGGGCAGGTACAGATACTTCAATCACTGCTGATGGAAGAATCCAAAATACGCTGTAAAAACTTTGGGAAAATGACTAGACGTGTTGGAACTGAGCACTTGTACAGGGTGGAACATCTGTCAGCAGATCTCGAGAAACTGGGAGCAAAGATATTTCTTAGGCTTCCGGTTCGTAGTCTTGATAAGCTCCCTCAGAAGGCATTTCATAAGTCTCATTGTCAGGCTCCCCGGGCATATCTTCCAGAATTCCTTCCTGTGGAGCTCCTTCTTCACTCTTGCCCATCTGGTCCTTTCTGCCAAAGCCGGTAGCGGCTGCAATGTTCCCGGCTCCCTCCACTGTCCTATGTGCAACTGCTGTCACCCCGGTCACCACCGCCTCTCCGACATTGGTCACTTGCTCTTTGGTCTTCTCAGCCACTGTCGTTACACCATGGACCACTCCTTCCTTGGTTCTGGAGCCTACATAGAGAACACCCTCTTTTGTCTTTCCTGCTGCTTCGGCCACACCCTGTTTGGTTTTCTCAGCAGCTGCCACAACTCCCTCCTTGGCCTTTGAAAGTCCTTTCATGAATGCGTCCATAGCTAAGGAGAATTCCTTTACACCACACTCAGCCCGCGTTGCCGCCGCCGCTGCTCTCGGTCGCTCGTCCTCTGTCTCGGGTGCTAAAAAAAAAAAAAAATCAATAAAATATATATTTTAAAAAAGAGCCAGTTTGGGTATAATACCAGATGGGCATGCATAGTTTGCTCTCCTGTGCATGTAGGTTAATGATTATCTGCATTTAGCTCACAAGAATATCATTTGAGGGAACTTGTTAAAATACAGATTCCAGGGCCCTAGAGATTCAGATTCAGTAAGGCTGTAGTGAAGCATAGAATTGACTTTCGATAAAAACGCTTGGGGGATTCCTATGTAGTAGTGGTGGTCTATAGATCTTTCTTTGAGAGGCCTTGCCTTAGGGGCTTTTCAGAAGTTTCGGAAGGCAATACGTTTAAAAGGGGAACTCACAAAGTGAACCTTGGCAACATTTCTCCATTAAAAAATCTCATTTCTATTTTATTTATTTATTGCATTCTATCACCACTATCTCTCAGAATGCTGCCAATTTAATATGCTTTCAAGCTTTAGAATTTAGATTAATTCTAGATGAGTACTGTATAACGGGTTAATTTTAGAAAGAAATCCTTGAGAAATTCTTTTTAGACATATTGCTAAAATGCTTGCTGTAGGAGGCTGCCCTGATTCTGGTTTTCAGCTAAGTTGGGATTCTCACAACTTTCTCTTTTAGTTTTAATAAATTTACACTATACATGATTGTATAATGAATGGCTTGGAATTTAGCTTAGAGTTGTATCTTCCCCTTAAATAGGATTCTATTTGTTGTCTTTGTATCTTTTAAGGATGTCACTGCTCTCCATTTGAAGATCACCAGGAACACATCTGGAGTAGGATACATCTGGGTTCATTGATTTGATGCAACAAGGCAGAATGCTCATGGTGAGGAATTGTGAGATGTCTCAGGAAGAGGATGTTAGAAATTACATGGGATTTGGCCTTGTGTTTGGTGATTTGGGGAAAGTTCAAGGAATGGGGCCATTGCTCTGGTTTCGATTGCTGGCAGGAAGCAGTGATAATTCTATGACAAGGCAACTTAATTATTATCTAGAACACAAGAAGAATGAAATGAGGCTAACACTGACGGGTAAAGAAGTGACAGTCACTTATATTAGACAGGATAGGAGGAGGCTGTTAGGCCATGTTTGTGGTTTGGGAAAATGCTCACACATTTTTAGTTTTTTTAAAAATATATTTTATTGATTTTGTACAGAGAGGAAGAGAGAGAGAGAACTAGAAACATTGATGAGAGAGAGAGTCATCGACTAGCTGCCTCTTGCACACCCCCTATTGGGGATATGCCCGCAACCAAGGTACATGCCCTTGACCGGAATCGAACCCGGGACCTTTCAGTCCCCAAGCCGACGCTCTATCCACTGAGCCAAACCAATCTCGGCTCACACGTTGTTGTTTTTTTGTGTTTTTTTTTTTCTGTGTTCAGACATGATTTTGAGTGGTCTTGTTTTTGTTAATTCATCATGGTCACAATGGCCTTGGCTGATGTTGGCATTCTGTAAAGCTGTTTATGTTTAACTGGAGAGCATGGTGATGTAGCTCCAGGCTCTTAGGGCCTACTTTTTTATTTTTAGTTTACCTTTAAACTAAAAATAAAGGGGAAATGTCATTATATGTATGAGTAGAGACTAGATACACCCAAAATATTCACACTAGTTCTGTGTTGACAAGGCTGAAAGGCAGCTCAGTATAAGAGAAAAGGCCTGGGATTACTTTTCCTATTTAATCCCCAAACTGTCCTGTGAATTTGATACTAACATTAACAGCTTCCATTTGCTGAACACCTACTACATGCTTTACACATATATCCAACAACTTTACAGGCAGATACATTTTTAAAAATATATATATTTTATTGATTTTTTACAGAGAGGAAGGGAGAGAGATAGCTAGAAACATCGATGAGAGAGAAACATCGACCAGCTGCCTCTTGCACCCCCCCCACTGGGGCTATGCCCACAACCAAGGTATTATACATGCCCTTGACCGGAATGGAACCTGGGACCTTTCAGTCCGCAGACTGACGCTCTACCACTGAACCAAACCGGTTTCGGCAGGCGGATACATTTTGATCCCCATTTCTCAGACAAGTAGACAACAACATCTCTAGAATCGCGGAGTTATTAAGTGGAATTGCTGGTATATTGGAGGTTCTATGCCTTCTGAGCCTGCTCAATTTCCACCAACTCAGGATGCCTCTCTCTTCAGAAATCTGGTGCCTGTAGGCATAGCTGTGGCGGTATCACACCTTCTTGGCAGGACCGTTCTAGACTCATACATCTGAAAGCAGTAACCGGGTCATGGCAGACAAGCCACAACGAAGTTTTCTTCCAGGATTGTGAGTACAAGATGGACTGACTAGTCGCCTATGTTGAGCGACTTCAGACCATTTCAAACTTCTGATCACAAAAGTCAGACTGAAAAAAAAAAAAAAAAATTCTTAGTGTCACACATTCAGAGGTTAAGCTCCAAGAAGTCAAGATCACTTCTTACAGATGAGAAAGTTGCCAAGGCCATTCCTTACAGATGAGAAAGTTGTCAGGGTCATTCCTTGCGGAGGAGGAAGTTGCCAAGGTCATTCCTTACCGGCGAGGACCGTGAGGCTTGGCAGGGCCTCTGATGTGCGCAGGGTTGCCCTGTGGGAGCCGAGGAGGCTGAGAAACCAGGTCTTCTCCCTCCTGCGCCCCATTCTTTTCCTGGCCACAGGGCTGTCGCCCGTCTTGGGGCGCAATCTCTCAGAGTCAGAGTTTGTAAACGCTGGCACTCCGTCCAGTGGGCAACTTCAGGGTTTCAGAACGGGTTTTGCTGGCCTTCCTGCCGGGAGCTGGTGCTGGCGTGGCGCCCCCTGCGGAGAGGACCCTGGCTTTCCCGGCGGAGCCCCAGCCCGGGCGCTCCCCGCGCGCCCAGGGCGCCCCGCTCCGCCCCCCGCCAGGGTCCAGGGCGCAGGGCGCGGGGCGGGGCGATCGCGGCGAGTCGCGGGGCGAACAGGAAGGAGGAAGGGCCGGGCGGTGAAGCCGGGCGGAGGTGAAGGACCGAACTCCAGCCTCCCGCACCATGTCGCCGCACAACCCGGGCACGGAGCTCGGTAAGGGCCCTTCTCCGTCCCCGCGCGTCCTTCCCCCGCATCCTGCCGCCGCCCGGGGCCCCGGTCCACGCGGGCGCTCGCCGGCCGCCCCCACCCCAGGCCGAGCCCGGGAGCCCCGCTCCCGCCGGCGGGACACCCAGCCTGCCTTTTCTGAGCCGAGGGGATAGGGAAGGATTGGACTATCAGACTCCCTCTGGCTTCCTTCTAGCTCCCTTGATTGCACAGAACCGGACCCCGAACCCCGAGCAAGAAAACCAGTGGAAAACCTCCCTTGCCCACTTGGGGTGGGATCCCTGTGTGACCGAATGTTCCATTGCCAGGAAGTTTCAGCACAGCTGTGCCCCAGCAGGAGCCTGGCCGGTGCAGGAGCTGTCAGGCCTCCGTGGTTTTGTATAATTTAGGGAGAATTGAGAATGGTTTTAGAGGCAGGAAGATTTGTAAAAGTGCCCAATGAATGGCTTCGCTATTTGAAAAAAAACACACGTCATTGCTAGAAAACTTGATTGTGATTTCCAGAAAGTGTGAAAAACTTGTGATTCAAACATAGCACGCACCACGGTCGGCCAAAGGTTAAGGATCTCCGTGTAAGCTTTATAACTTGGCTTATCTGTAGGGTGGATCTGGAATTTAGCTGTGTGACTTGGGGCACATGGCTTAGCCACGCAGTGTTTAACGTTTCTTAACCTGTAAAATGTGTATAATAGTGTTTGCCTCGTAGACTTTGGTTTGGAGATTAAATGAGAGGATGTGTGTGCTACATTGCGGATATCTAGTAGGTGTTAATAAAAATATTATATAGGGAGTTGTGTTTTTAGGGGTTAATTTTGAGAGCAACAGCTGTAAATGATATATAACACAGAGGTACTTTAAAAATATATAATTTCTAACTAAATAGGCTAAGAGGTAGTCTATAATTTTTATAATGACAGTTGATTTCCTCACCAAATTGATTCCCCTTAAGTCACTGCCTTTTGGGAGTTATGTTTTAAACTCCAGCTCTACCTCTGGAGTGTGAACCTTAGTAATAAAGGAACATTCCCTAGATTGGAAGATCATGAAGGATGGCAGTGGGGGCCGCGGGGCGGGGCGGGGTGGGGGGAGATAGGGATGGGGTGCAGGTCTTACCTCAGTATCTTTAGGGATGTGACTCTGGCTTTGTGCCCATAGAAGATGAACCTTTATTTTCCCTAAACTTAGAGGTTTAATTTTGTTCTTTCAAGAAATACAGTTCAACTATTTTTACTTTCTTTTTAAAAATTGAGATATAATCTCTCTCTCTCTCTCTCTACATATATATAAAAGGCTAAGTGACCGACCATACGTACGTCCAACGACTGACCAGCTGGTACATAATGACATACACTGGTAATTTATTTTATTATTTTTTTTAATATATATATTTTATTGATTTTTTACAGAGGGGAAGAGAGAGGGATAGAGAGTTAGAAACATCGATGAGAGAGAGTCACTGACCAGCTGCCTCTTGCACACCCCCTACTGGGGATGTGCCTGCAACCAAGGTACATGCCCTTGACCGGAATCGAACCTGGGACCTTTCAGTCCGCAAGCCAACGCTCAATCCACTGAGCCAAACCGATCTTGGCCATACACTGGTAATTTAAAGATAAACATGCCCTGACCGGTTTGGCTCAGTGATAGAGCGTTGGCCTGCGGACTGAAGGGTCCCAGGTTCAATTCCAGGTAAGGGCATGTATAATACCTTGGTTGAGGGCACATCACTGGTGGAGGGTGTATAGGAGGCAGCTGATCGATGTTTCTCTCTCATCGATGTTTCTAGCTCTCTCTCCCTCTTCCTTCCTCTCTGTAAAAAAGTCAATAAAATATATATTAAAAAAATAAAAATAAACGTTGACTCACTCATGCGCAATACATATAAAGTTCTCGCTGGTGCCAATTACATGCATGTTTTAATTTTATAATACTATATTATATATACTATTTTGATGTAATTTTTATAGTAACGTAATTATCACACAAATCTTTCTTCTACTGTAATTTCCCTTTCAGTGTGCACAAATCTGTGCACCAAGCCATTAGTTGACATATAACATTTTGCTTTCTTAATTTGTAAGAATTAGAATCACTTCCATTCATTTGTTGAAAAAAAAAAAAACAGTATAAACAAAAACAGTTGCTATATAGAATAAAATACTTCACTATTAATTTATGCAGTAGCTTATCTGGTGTCTTCCATGGAGTTTTCTAATTAAGTCTTTTAAAATACATATTGTAACTTTTTAAACAAAATTAATTTTTACTTTTCTTTTTTGAAATATATTTTGATTGATTTCAGAGAGGAAGAGAGAGGTAGAAAGGTTTCATCAGTGATGAGAATCATTGATCTGCTGCCTCCTGCACGCCTGCTACTGGGGATCGAGCCTGCAACCACGGCGTATACCTTGACTAGAAATCAGTCGGTGATCTCTTGGTTCATAGGTCATTGCTCAACCACTGAACCACATCAGCTAGGCTCTTTTTCTTATTACAAGAGGAATTCATGTTTATTGTAAAAGTTTTAGAAAATATAGTTAGCCCCAAAATTGAAATTATTACTAACCCAATCCTAAGTACTTATATTTTAATGAATATATTTCTAGTTGATAGACTTAAACAAATAGGTTCATTTAACACTGATTCTCATGATAAAATTCTTCAAGGAACCTGTGCTTTTATGATAGCATTTGGATATGCGAAAGAAGGAGAAACCCTCTAACTTTAGTGTTAACTTTTATTATGTCAGTGTTTAGTGATGAGTGCTGTCTGCTAAAGATATTTTCTACTTAAAAATGTTCGTTTCTGATTTTCTCCAACTAAACATAAACCTACAGAAATGTTTTCTTTGGGCAGTGGTAGTCCTATGTGATAGGTAACAGATGTGTCCTTGTAGAGAGAAGGCTTGGCTAGTTTGGAGTCAGAAGGAAAAAACAAACGAACCCAAATCTGGCCTCCTAGTCAGTAGCCTATAGCTCCGGCCAAGCTGCTTGATTTCTTTGAGCCAGAAATGTGGGCCCTGGACCAGCAACATTGACATTATTGGGGAGCTCATTAAAAAATGCAGGCGCTGTGAGGTCTCAGTGAATCGGAAGTGGCTGTGTTGAGGCCTGGTATTCTGAGTCTTATCAAGTATTCTGGGTGGCTCTGGAGCACACCCAACTTGGAGAACCTTGGCCTGTGTTCCCCCAGCAGGTCTGTGGCAGTCAGTCAGGCTGTTCCTCCACATAGACAGCTTCCGTCTCATGCTTGTCTTGATTTCCCGTATTTGGCTGCCCCTTTGTGCAGACACCTTCCGTGTTAGGATTGGACTGTGGGCGGCCCCCATGTATGAGTGACCCCTCACTTATTTAGGCTCCCATACCCTCCTGTGGGCCATAGTGGCTCCCCCATCAGCCTACCTTACTCACATTCCCACCCCCCTTTCTCCCCCATTTAGAACACTTGTTCAGGGGACCAGAATAAAAATGTAAATTTATTGTCATATAGTATACATTTATATAATACAAAATCAAAAACAAACAAAAACAAGTGGAGTGCTCACTTTCCCGGCACTTGTAACTTGTTGCTCATGCTAATGGCTGGGGCACCTCCACATAAATAGCTTCCTTATTATTTTTATTTTTTATTTTTTTTTAATAAGTTTTTATTGTTCATATTATTACAAATGTTCCTTCCCCCTCCCCCCCATTGCTCTCCTCCACCAGGTTCCCACCCCACCCTCCGCCCCCTCCCCACTCCCTATTGTCCCCATCCATAGGTGCACAGTCTATGTTCAGTCTCTTCCCACATTCCCCTCTCCCCTTTTCCCCGAGAATCGTCAGTTCACTCCCCTTCCATACCTCTGATTCTATTAATATTGTTCATCAGATTTTTTTTTTTTTTAATTTCCTTGGTTTTTAGATTCACTTGTTGCTAGTTATGTATTTGTTCATAGTTTTTATCTTTATTTACTTTCTCTTCTGAAAGAACCCCCTTCAGCAATTCATATAATTCTGGTTTGGTGGTGATGAACTCCTTTAGCTTTTTTTTTTAATTGGTGAAGCTCTTTCTCTGGCCTTTGATTCTGAGTGATAGCTTTGCTGGGTAGATTATTTTTGGCTGTAGGTTCTTACTATTCATTACCTTGAATATTTCTTGCCATTCCCGTCTGGCCTGTATGGTTTCTGTTGAGAAGTCAGCTGACAATCGATTGGGTGCTCCTTTATAGGTAACTACCTTCTTTGCTCTTGCTGCTTTTAATATTCTCTCTTTGTCTTTTGCTCTTAGAATTTTAATTATGATTTGTCTTGGTGTGGTCTTCTTTGGATTCCTTTTGTTTGGAGTTCTGTGTGCTTCCTGGACTTGTAGGTCTAATTCTTTCACCAGGTGGGGGAAGTTTTCTGTCACTATTTCTTTCATTTTATTTTTATTTATTTATTTTAAAATATATTTTATTGATTTTGTACAGAGAGGAAGGGAGAGAGATAGAGAGTTAGAAACATCGATGAGAGAGAGTCATCAATTAGCTGCCTCTTGCACACCCCCTACTGGGGATATGCCCGCAACCAAGGTACATGCCCTTGACCGGAATTGAACCCGGGTCCTTCAGTTCCCAAGCCGACGCTCTATCCATTGAGCCAAACCGGTCTCGGATGTCACTATTTCTTTCAGTATGTTTTCCATATCTTGCTCTCTCTCATCTTCTGGGACCCCCATAATTCTGATGTTGGTTCGCTTGAAGTTGCCCCAGAGATTTCTTACATTATCTTCAACTTTCTGGATTCTCTTGCCTTCTTGCTTCTGCGGAGGAGTGTCTTCTGGCTCATTATGTTCCAAATCTTTGACTTGATTCTTGCGAACTTCATTCTGTTTTTAGGACTCTGTATAATATGTTTTATTTCAGACAATGTATTCTTTATTTCTTGTTGATCCCTTATTATTTCTTGTTGATTCCTTATTATTTCTAGTTGATCCCTTTTCATATCCTCATAGGACTTATCTATCTT